GCCTCGACTTCCAGGCCCTTTGTGACTTTCAGCTCATTGTTACGAAGATATTGGAACTTCCCGCCTCTCTTGTAACACCGTTAAGCAATTAAATCGAAAGTTTCACGACGTGCCGTTAAAAAACACAATTAAACCGGAACTGTCTGCGGCCACGTCATTTTCAATTTTTGCTCGATCCTCAGACTCGGCGCTCCTCTATTCGGTGATATTAGGGGGCGAGCGTAGGACTAAATCTTTTATGATACGATTCTCTTCTCGAAGGGATCGAGCGACACCATTTGCTCGCATCGCCAAGCGACATCTTTAACTTCCCAAATGGGATCTCGTCTCCTGGTTTCAACGACTATTGGAAAGGATAATCGCGAGCTACGAGTTCTCATAAGATAGACGCACGGTCAGGGATATAAGGGTAAGGAGTAAGGGTCGCGAGAGGGAAAGAGAGGAAAGAGAAAGAGATTTCCGCGTTTCGAGAGCGAAGAACAACAAAGTTTCTTAATGAAGAATAACGTTCCCAGCGAAGGAAAGATATTTCCACTTAACCGGGGATTCTCGTAGTCTTTCCTCTCCTTTGCCTCCTGTCCACCGGAATTGCTCCCCATTTCTCCCCTAATCTTCCGTTGTTCCAGCCGAAACGTTCACCTCCAACTTGCTCTCCGCTGACTATTGACAGTGCCGTTCGAAAGAGTACTATACCCTTCGATCCAATCTCGCATCCAATGAAACGCTCCAGAACGAAATGAATTTCGACCATAACGGATTTTAACTTTTCCCGATAGTCAAGCGTCCCTCTATATTCTGTTCAATCTCTCCTCCCTCTATATTACCTGGAAAAATTTGAGATCTTGCGAACGGAATTCAGTGAACTTGAAAACCGGGAGAGGACGCGCGTAATTTCTTACGCGAGAAGTTCAAAAGTTTTACGCATCGATTTTACTTCTGTTCACTGAAACTATCCACCCACCATTTTTGTTCCCTTCTATTTTCACAAAGAAAGGCTAGAAAGAGCGGAGGTTCCTGGAGAAAGTTGTCGATTCAATGCAGAGCACTCCTCCGTAGATCGTCTCTGAGCACGCGACACGTTTAATTTTCTTAATGATCAGGCAACCTTCGATTGGGCGTACAAAGAAAGACAGAGATTCAGCGCGGAGAAGCGTATGACGTCGTCAAAGAGGCTTTCCGGGCTCGACCGATAGCGTCAGATAGCGTGATTCCGTCCGGGCTTCTCACGCGATGCCCATTTCCTCCTATCGACCTTCCATCTCTTCGCTCAAACGGAATCTTTCGATCTTCTCCGCTGGATGTAGGTCGTCTAGGTGGCTCTGCACCTAACTGTGGCTATCCAATTCAGGTAAACGGCGCCCAATTGTCTCGAGCTGGAATGAACGTAGGCGCGGAAACATGTAAGCCCCGATGATTCCCGGGGCTGGATCACTGCCACTAGTCGAAGCGGCGATTATCGAAGAACGTGAATGGTCGACGCGTGAGCTGCCTGCGAATCCAGCGTCACTCGATTCCGACGACTGCGTAATTCCGTTGTACGTCTCTGAATCACCGTTCGTGTTACCAGTTTTTTTCCCTTTTTTTCACTGACAGTGCACGTCTCGCTTTTATCGTTAAGGACTGTGCGATTTAATCTTACCCGTCGTTATGAAACGATAACGAGATCATTTGGGACGATCGTTCGCGCTGGAATGCCAATTGGGCTTCGTGCGCTAGACCCGTGAAATTTTGGAATCTAGGGTAGTTTAAGCAGTTTAAGCACCTGGGTCGTTTGAGACCAAGAGAATTTTGTGCAATTTTATGAATGATTCTGTAAGGTAGACTATCGATGTATCATAAATAAATATACAGATATGAATATACAAATATGGAATCCAATATGAGATTAATTAATCCTAAGTAATCAACTAGAATCCAATCTATTAGGTTGCCTGAAAAGTTTCTTTCGTTTTACTAGGAAATAATAGACGCATAACGTTTTTTGTTTTATATTGTTTTGTCGAATTACGTACGATCTGTTTTGTTCTGTTCAGATAAACACCGCGATTTGGTTTCACGTTTGTATGAAGCTGTATTGTTGTAAAGAACACGTTTGCGAAAGAAAGACACTTTTCGGACAACCTAATACGTTATAATAGGCGCTTCAGTCAATTAGACTCAATGCGCGAAACTTTGGAACTCAGAATAGTTCAAGTACTTATATAATTTATCTAAAACTATTTGTGGATGAAAATATTTATATAGATTATTTCATTGCCAGTAACGTGATGAAACACTAATCAGCGGAGTGCAATGTGTCCCGAGAAACAGATTAACGGTGAAAGAAGAGTATCCAGGCAACAAATCTCACCGCTGTAATTAGTTTAGAAGCAGCTGATAAGGGAGTCCCTCGACCGAATGAAACATTAACGAGACTGCATCTGGCCAATGCTTCAATCAAGTGTGATTGTTCGAAATTGTTCGAGGGCCAGCACACGTTGGCTCATAACGCGGATCGATATACGTGTTTCGAGGTCGACTACCATCGGCTGTGGATAGGAATACCATTGCCGGTATCGTGAGCGGGACACGCGTAGCATAGGGACACCCTCGGCTCGCGTGTGACCCTTCTTTTACGAAGGGTGCACCCGATGCGGGTGCATGACACAGGCACAGATTATCAGTGCACACGACGCAATGGAATTGATCCCCGAAGCATGCCCGTACGTAAAACTTTCGGAGATGAAAATGCTGCCGATTGATTGCTCGCTTGGTTCGCGTTCACGTGGGAAAATTTCGACCACGTCACGTGAATAAACCGGATACGCTCGTTGGCATATTTATTAAACGCGAACAGAAAAAAGGCTGGATTAAGTAATCCCGCAGTGAAGCGGTCCAGGTTTTTGTGATAAAACTGCGTGGACGATATTTAAAATAGTCGAAACTAGATAGTCTATCGATGTTTTGATAGTACCTTCCGTTCAATGTACATTGTATTTCGTTCCACCGAGAGCAGTATCGATGATGATTCAGATTCATATTCGATAATTCGTAATCGCTATAAGCGTAAATATCTGCATGCCAGTTCTCTTGCATTCGAGTCGAATGATTCGACAGAGGATCCTCAAAAGGCTTTGACTGATCATCTCGTCGGCATGGATATATGTCCTTTGATGTAACATTTAAACCTTCAACCACGTTTAAACGACGAATCTGTCAAATAGCTTCAATCACGTGTTCTCTAGGAAGCTCTGAACAAAATGTAGCTCTTGCTCATTGCACATGGCAACTATGACGCTGCGATGTTATTCATAGCGGTAATCAATTTATCGTGAATATATTTTGGGACATATCCATGAGCTTTCCGAATTAAGAAAATCGCCTTTCCATTCCGGATAAAATTTTCCTTATATGTAATTAACTTATATATTTGTGTTTCGCTATCTGAGTGTATTCTGAAATATCTGAGTGAACTACGAATTCCTCTATTAATTTTTCGGAAGCGCTGATACGAGTTATATATTTTGCACGTAAGATTCTTTAATTATCTATACATACTGTATAGTATAATATATTTTACCAAGGAGTACCGTAAGCGCGACAAAAGGATCAAACTGTAACTTGACAATGAGTGCTTCAAATTTGCGCTACTCGTGATTAAGACATGCCGCGAGTGCACGCGCAGATTTCATACACAATTTAATCGAAAAGGGCAAAACGAATGCGGCTGGCTACTAATTTCGCTGGTGGTTGTGCAACACCAAGCATACACTATTTTGTGCTTGGAGTTGTGCCAGCAGCCAGGTAAATACAAGGTTTTCAGGAAGATAACGTTGCGTCGGTCCGTCTCTCTAGAGAGAGGTGAATTTCAAACGAAATCGGTCGACCATCCTTATTTCGAAATCTGTTTGTGAAACTAACTAGCCGGATTATCGAAACATATTTATTGACAAACGCGATTAGCCTGGCAGCTCAATGGAAATGACAGCGCCGTACAATGGACGATTCGACTTTTCTACCGATCGATTCCCTTGCATGCAACGGAAGAGCATTTGAAGGGAGCGAGCAATCGAATAGTCGACGGATTAATTAATTTCACTCCGATAACTTGGTAATTTGGTTATTCGTTGATGGGGGAAGGGTGTTGATTTCGAGGGATCGCGAAGAAAAGGTGGTGAGTATCGACGATGGTTTATGCGTGCCTATCTAATTCCGTCGATATAATCGAATCGCGATAAATTCCACGCGAGCGATTCGAAGGGAAATATCGTTTGCGGCAGGCGTGGTCGTGAGTTGTGAATCGTGACCCCTTCTCGAAACTCGATCTATTCGATTCCGTGTTACTCGCAACTCTATTACCGACATTTACTAATCAACTTACGTCGGTTTTATTTTAGTCGGACGAAAAATAATGGGTAAAACTGGTGAACGATGGCGAAGAGCGGTAAGGGGCGGAGGGAATGCGGACGCAGACGGGGGGAGGAAGCTTAGCCTAAAAGCAACGGGGATAGTCTTCTATAATAGGACACAGGTTAACGCGACGTACATGGGAACGCTTTTTCCTCTTTCGGGCGATGTTGTCGAAACTGCAATATGCGATTCGCCTGACAGCAGGGGGATATTGCGAAATAAAAAGGGTTAAATTAAAAATTCTCGGTCGAGTGCTCCGTCCTTCGCCCGAAGAGAGACTCTGAGAATATGCCTGTGGAATTTGAACGTGAAAGCACGAAGAGAGTTTCCACCCTCACCCCGATCCAACCACCTCTCTTACTCTGCTTTATCCTTCTCGTTCCTCTGGTAACTCGAAGTCTTCGACTTTTATAGCAAGCCAGGTATAAAAGACGGGCCTTTGTGCCTCCGTAAGCCGTCCTTATCGATATTTTTCGATAACAAAAATGAAGGACCGAGCCTTCGGCCGTGGCCCTTGCCGGCCAAACTCGACTCGACTCGACTCGATCCAACTTTCGATCCGAGACTCGATTCCACTCGAACTTCGGCAATCATTATCCTTTGTGTTCTAGAACGACACGATGCAAGTGGTTTGGCAATATCATGTGGAGGAACCGGTGTCTGCTGCTGGAGTTTTGCCGGATCACGACGCCATCCGAGGATCGAGGCCGCTTTATCTGGTGCAAAGGGACGCGCAACCGAAGCCAACCTCGCGCAACCAAGAAGCCGAGCCGCAGCTTCAAACGTGGGACATATTGAACCAGCAGGTTGGTATCGAATCATTTATCCACGTCCCCTGGTGGCATCCAGACGATCGATTACCGACGCTATGAATGTATTTTATCCTTATGTAATGTAGAACGTGTGGTACCGCGTTCCATGAACGACCGCTGTTCGACGGGCCGATGATGTGCGAAACCGACGCGCGAAATCACGTGGGCGGAAAATTATGGTGTAATACGAGCCATCGCGTGGTGGATATACCATAATATGATTATACCGCGTGGAGGGAGGATACGGTGCGATGCAACGCGTCTTACGTATGCATAATGATGGAGAGACCGGCGTAGGTGGTAATAATGTAATGGATAGGTGCTCGCCGGATTTTGGTTGTTAACAGTGAGATTAAAGGTGTAGGGTAAAGATGAAAACGAATGCTTCGCGCAGTGTGTATCGATAAAAGTTTCGCGTGACATGTATGTTATACGCGTGAACTCGTTCAAGATGGTTTTACGAAGATATATTCGAACGATCGTCTCTCTCTCTCTCTCTCTCTCTCTCTCTCTGTTGTTTATCCAATTATTCAAGGAACAGTTGGCTCGATTCGGCATCCGACGTGTTCGCGCGTAACACGTAACAAGAGAGAACGAGCTTAATATTCATCGGTACGGTGAAGAGTTTCCCGGAAAAGGCGATTAAAGAGTTTTAATTACGGGCTGGAACGTAGTGTCAACGATATCATATTAAACTCGATCTCCGTGGAAGCTACTTTTCCGGAAGCTTCCGTGGCTGAGTTTACTTTCCGAGGGAGAAGTGTGTCGGACGAAATGAATCGCGGCTCTGTTCCGATTCGTCGCCAGACTCTCCCTCTGACACGGTTCCATCGAACTTCGATAATGTCTTTGAAGTTATTAGACACATTCATTGTGACCGCGGTTATTAAAATTTGATTGTAATTGAACGGGGAATGCGGTGAAAACTTTTCAAGGAAATTGCACGGGAGACGGCTGCTCGTCTAATACCTCGGTAACGAGCGTTCGTGTGAATCTTCACGCTAGACGATGGCAATATTAATAAAGACCAAAGTTCATCATTCAATTTCTAGTATCTCATATCTTTGGCTAAAACTTTCTTTCAAATTTCACGTCTAGGTTAATCGTGGAAATTTGTGCATTAAAAAATTCTTAAGTTTCATGAACTCTAAAATTCCTATATGCCAAAGTGGATAAACTTCTAGTAGAATTTTAAGGAATGGTCACTAATTTGGTCCGCGATCTGTTCGTATCCAAGGAGCCATTATTCGTTCGTTGCTTGAAGGCGGTCGGTCTCTTTTGTTTCGTTGTTCGAGTCGTGGTATTCTCGCGGTCAATTCAGTCACGCTTCTGTTTCGCGAACGCGTGGATTCATGTTAGCGAGTAAGCCAGCGAACCAGCGAGTAAAATAGAGAGAGAGAGAGAGAGAGAGAGAGAGAGAGAGAGAGAGAAATATATCTTCGTAAAACCATCTTGAACGAGTTCACGCGTATAACATACATGTCACGCGAAACTTTTATCGATACACACTGCGCGAAGCATTCGTTTTCATCTTTACCCTACACCTTTAATCTCACTGTTAACAACCAAAATCCGGCGAGCACCTATCCATTACATTATTACCACCTACGCCGGTCTCTCCATCATTATGCATACGTAAGACGCGTTGCATCGCACCGTATCCTCCCTCCACGCGGTATAATCATATTATGGTATATCCACCACGCGATGGCTCGTATTACACCATAATTTTCCGCCCACGTGATTTCGCGCGTCGGTTTCGCACATCATCGGCCCGTCGAACAGCGGTCGTTCATGGAACGCGGTACCACACGTTCTACATTACATAAGGATAAAATACATTCATAGCGTCGGTAATCGATCGTCTGGATGCCACCAGGGGACGTGGATAAATGATTCGATACCAACCTGCTGGTTCAATATGTCCCACGTTTGAAGCTGCGGCTCGGCTTCTTGGTTGCGCGAGGTTGGCTTCGGTTGCGCGTCCCTTTGCACCAGATAAAGCGGGAGAAAGCGAAGCGTGGGTGGCTCGGGTTGCGCGTGAGATGAATGTTCGAACGCGTTTAACGTTCAGCCTGGTACGAGTGGATTTTTATCGGATGCAAGCCGCGGAGCATTGTGCGCCGAATTTATGATGGCATAAATCTTAACCGGGTCACATCCGGCAAAAACTATTCGTTCATTAGCGTCGCCGGGTCATAGATTACGGGTCGACGCTATCACTGGGATCGGACAATGCTAATTCCACGGGCTGCCGAGCTTTTGCTTATAGTTTATACCGACAGAGAGAAGGAAGGGATGGTTTAGTACGGATTTACGTGGCGCCTATTCTGCGTCGTCGACGAGCAGAGATCGATCATTCGCGTGAATAATGAAGATGAAAAATACTCGAGTACTCTATTATCGATGCCAGAATTCGAGAGCACTCTTGGCGGCAGTCTAAGAGGAACTATGACGAGTTTCAACGTGAATGAAGTCGTAAACATGGCGTGATTGGCGGATGGACGATGTGCAAATATAGCGAAGGAGAGATGTCGAAGTTATCAGTCAGCTTACGCTTCAGTGTCTTTTCGCGTTGGCAGCTCGATCGGTGAAAAATCGGGAATTTCAGAGAACGTCCTCTCTATTCTCTCTTTTTGTCTCTCCCTCTTTCGTTCCGTTTTCGTCGTATCTTGTGAAATTTCCACCGTCGAGGTTCCTCGCGAAATGCATCGTATCTGATTTTACCGATAAATGGCACTTTCGATATTTTTGCGCGATTCAATCGAACGACGTGTGTCAACGAATCTAGTAATGGAAACGAACGGAAACGGCTTGCATTATCAGGAAAAGCCGGGAACGAAATAATAAATTGGAATTACGAGGGAGGGGTAGGTGGTTGGTTGAAACCGAACGACTCTAATTTCATCAGCTCTGTTTACAATTTGTATCCAACAGGATCGCGAAACTGGGGTGTTTCGGTGCTCATCAGCTGAAACAAATTACCGCGTCTCCCAGCTGGAAAGGAATTACTCGTTCGCCCAGCAAATCGAACGATTCCCTTTCTCCTTTCTGTTTTTACTTCGATATCTCTCTGATATGAAATTGTTTGTAGTACTGATTTGATTGCTTTTACTTTAATTGTAACAGAGGGATGCAATGAGCACAGTTCGAATTATACAATTACGTACATCTCGCTAAAAGATATAATAAAAGATCGTGATAATAGTAAGACCAATCTCACACAGATATACGTATATCGCGATGCGCATATGATACATACTGAATATATATGTACACTAATGGAAGCGATAACACGACAATTCTCGGGCGACGCAGTATCGCGATACTCATTTCGTGTTCTTGTCAACGATAGGAAGGCGATAGATGAGACATTAAACCAAATGGCGACATTCACACGATACGCAGCTCATGACACGTGTATCACGATACGCGTATCTTCTCGTGAAACCGGCCTAAAGAGTAAAATTTCAAATGTTATGCAGGCTGTTCAATATAGTAATAGCCTACAAGTGCGATAAGTTAACAGCACAAATAATTGTGCTAATGTAAATCATGCAGCAACGAAGTTTCGTACGCATATTTGGTATCACGCAGCACCGAATTCAGTAGAGAAAGCTTCGTACAATTTCCAAGTTTCCTCGACCTAGTTGAATTGCTCAGAATTACAGAGCACTACTATAAATTACCATGGTCAGCCCCGTACGTCATCAACTATTTAATTCTGTTTAGTATCTCCGAGAACTAATTCACCGTTCTTCGGGATATTCTTCGTCGCTCTTCCTTTTTGTTATTCCATCTTATACCTACAATTTCTTTATGAGTTACAATACTTTGCTACGGTAACGCGCCTCGTTCACAAACTTCTTAATCCTAGCGATGTCTGATTAGTCGACACGCATTCTCGCATCGCCGAAACTTTCGTAACGCGATCGCGGTTTTAATTGTCACGATGAGAAGAGCCGTCTGCTCGTCTCTGTTTCTCTCACAGTTGGAGACGGCCGGAAAGCGGCGACATTAAAGTTACCAGAGCGTCGTTTATCTTACGACCACCGCGCCTCGTCTCTCTCCGTTTCTTACTTCTTTCTTATACAAATGCTACTTGTTCGCTAACTACGTACGCGGAAGTTCCTCGCCAGTTGAATAACTTTTGTATCGCGACGAGATGAATATGAATGTCTGTGGACACAAAGAGAACGAGGGCCAACTTGTTAGGACGGGTTTGCATTGATTCTCTCTTTTCCAAGACCGGCAGGGATACTTTTTTCGTCGGCCATTCTCGGGACGAATCGAAAGGGAAACTTCACCAACGAGAGAGCGCCAAATTCGCCTCAGGCGGATGCCGTTTCACGCCTCATCGTCATCCCTGTTGCCTCGTATATTTATATAGTCTCGTTTTTATTTTCATACGCTCTCCCCCAAACATCATTTGCATACCATCTTTCTGACACATAGATAATTTCGACTTTTCGCCTAATCCGCTATTGTGTTGATAGTTCCGCATGAATGAAGCTTTCGTTTCATTGCTCAACTGGGAAATTGTAGTTGATGTTTGCAAGAAACACAGAAGTTTCCATGAACTATGAAGTTCATTAGCGATGTTCGTCATCAATCATAGTCTTGGTAAATGTGCCTCATGAAAGGATACGCCATCATTCTTCATTCTCAATATAGTTATTCAGAGAGTTCTGACGAAGCTCCCCCGTTGAATCGCTGTTACATCTCTCGTAACAGACACGTTTCCTGTATATCTTCTGTTTTTTTTCCTTCATACGCTTTTCAACGGGCTTCTTTCACACGTCTAATTTTTCTCGCGCCTCGCTCGACCCTATCAGATCTGATTTCGAAAAGGGATCGCGACGCGTTATTAGTTATTTATAGGAGCAACCGACCAAGAGAAAAAGTTGGCGCCGCGATGAGAAACAGGAAAGGGCGAAATATGAAATGCTTATGCGAGCACGACGGCCGAGTAACATAAAACGCGTTTTTACGTGGGCTGTCCTTCAAAAGAAGTCATCCATTTGAACGCATAGTGCGCGAAACCCGACATACCCGCAGGATAATTATCGTCTCTTCTCTTTCCAAGAATCCACGCAGCGAAGGAAAAAGCGGCCAAGGGTGAGGCGTGTCGTGAATTGCTCTCACGATGACGTCTATTTGCGTTGAATTCATAGCCTGAGCTTGTGTACTGCTTTGACAATTTAATGTTTCGTTTATGGAAGTTACTAAAACGTGCGCGTGTATGTGTTATGAGTGTCATTCAAATAGAATTCAGTGATAAATGAAAAGAGCACAGTTTATTTCCAGTTCGATAGTTCACGGTTTTCTAACAAATATAATCACAATGGTTTCAAATTTTAGCAATATAATCATGACAGTCGTGTCTCGATACAATGCGTTTGTAAAACGTTAATAATATACTCATATCTATGTATAAAAGTTTGCGATGAGTATTTCAAAAGTTTCAAAAATCAGTCTATTCTAGATCTAGATGTTTCACAATTTATAGATGCAAGATAGAGATACGGTTAGAAATGGATACCTCTATTTTTTAGGCCGTTGAAACCAAGTTTCGGGTATATCTAAAATTTCTCCTGATCCCGGCACTATCTATCTCTGACTAACGTGTCTACCGTAATACACATATAGAGTATCTATTCCGGAACGAATCGACGTACCACGTACATATTTGGAAGAATTCCTTGTATGAGGTCAACATCCATTTCTGTCGATTCTTATTTATCCAGATTACACCCAGACGAACATAAAAGTTTATGCTCAGTTCTCGTGTGTTAAAGTGATTCAGCAAGCATCCCTCGCACGTATCGGCTCTCATACTGCGTGCACCGGCAACATCAGCTTTTTTACGAAAAGGAAGGGAGAGAGAGAGAGAGAGAGAGAGAGAGAGAGATCTGATTGGCCAAAGGAAGATATTCCGTAGGAAATGCAGCCAGAAGCCCGAGGAATCGTAAACGGGGCTCGCTCGACCGAAATCTTGACCGAACCCTAAGGCCGTTCAGCATATTCGACCGCAAAACAATAAACGCAGTCGTCCTTCTCGGTAATCTTGACATCGATAATTTCGCAGAAGCGCGTGGGAGAACCCTACGGCGGCGTGGCCCAAGCTCAAGGCGGTCGAACAGCACAGCCGCGAAAAAAGAATCGCAATTTTCTCTTCAGAATCGCACACATACCCCGCGGCTGCAACTCGAGCCTCAACCTTTGTTTCCTACTCTATCCGAACCTTCCCGTTCTTTCTTTATATATTGCGAGATCTTTTTCGGTATAAATGCAATCTCGATCGGCACATCGACAACTTTTCTTCGATCGTTTAAAACGTCTCGTAATCACAGTGGTAAGGAATCCTTTGGTTCGTTCTCTTATTCTTTCTCTCGATCTCTTACCGTAGATTAAATTTACTCAATACGCCTTTGTGCGTTCCTTTGCTGACAAACGGTCTGCGGCAACACCTGAAGATTTCCGCCAGGTATCAGACGTCTCGACGTTAATATATGTGCCTCCAGTGGAATCCTTTTGACCTGCAGTTTGACTATTCAAACGACACCATGACTTTCTTTCTCTATTGGAGTAGTTTACATAGTTGTATAATATTTTCAAAAATATTCAACTCGTTGAGTTAGATTAGGAGGCTTAATATTCAGTTTAATTATCATCGGTGTGAAAATGTTCAGTTTTTTTCTTTTTTTTTGGAGTAAAAGGGAAACGAGATGACGGTAGTTTGAGAAACTATTTCATCTGTACACGATCGTTTAAAACAGCAATAGTTTCGCTCATT